ACAGTCCGGGTGCCCTGGCTCGAGCTCCAGCAAAGCCACTACCTTGGGAGCATGCTTCAGTTGCTTCAGGGTTTGGGGTTTGGGATTTGGGGTTTAGGATTTCATTTCGGGTTTAGGATTACGGTTTCTAGGATCAGGGTTTAGGGATTAGGGTTTAGGACTAGGGCTAGGGTTTAGGGTGTACTGGGATTTCGTGCTTGCCTTCCCTCCGCTTCCGCATAGATCAAGCAACGTCGGGATGGCTCGATTGTAACTGTTTGCTGCTGTTCAACAAGGAATATCTTCACTCGCTTGGCTTACAGCTGCTGGAACTTCATTTTTGGTTTGGATCGTAGCAACAGCGACGTAAGACACCAGAAGCTCTCAAGTCCTGCGAGGTATCTGGGACGATGCCAAGGCCATCGCTGCAGCATTTCGCTCGCCAAGCTTCTGCGCCTGCGCAGGTCACGATACGAAGCTTGGGGGGTCGGATATGGGGTGGCTCTACGCCGGCTCCCATTATCTGGGCAAACAGCCAAGGCCCTAACCCTAAACCCTAAACCCTAAACCCTAAACCCTAAACCCTAAACCCTAAACCCTAAACCCTAAACCCTAAACCCTACACCCCAAACCCTCCATTTTCTTTGGGGGGGGGAAAGCGCGCCGCTTTAGATTCCGGGGGGGCCCAGGGGTCCATGCGTCGGCTTCGCGATGCGACATGCGCTTCAGGTCACAAGGTTGCTTAAGAGTTGAGGTTCAGGGGGCCTTTAGCTGCTTGCACCTCCAAAAGGATAATTGCATAGATACACTCACCAGAATCAGGAACCCAACCAAAACCTTCATCTGGATGGACGAATTTTCTCAGAGTTTTCGGAGCCCTAAGCTTGAAACTTGAGACCTAAAAACCACTCAGCAAGGGTATGCAGTGGACATGCTACCCCGACGTCTTGCTCGACACCTGAGCTCTGCAGCCCGTCTTAGGTCTCGAGCTGTATAGCGAGAGGTTGAGGCTGTATCTGCTCGGCTTTACCCCCAATCCTCCGAAACCCTGAATGTTGAACTTCCAAGCAAGTCTGGATGCTCGCCTTCCTGTCCGAATGTGCAGGGGCGGACGGGGAAGTCGACCACGACACCTGATGCAGGGATTTGGGTGTCGGAGCAGTCACCGATATGTGAAGAACAACAGCTGAACTCTCAGACGCCGACGTATGGCGTTGCGCAGCTGCTGGACAAAGGCAGGTCATCCTTGGTTCTGCTGGGGCAGCTTGCCCACCGATGATGGGTTTTTGGGTTGTATTTACGGTTGACGTGTAAATGTGGTATGCCGCAGCAGGTCAAAGAAATCTTGAAGCTGCAAACCCAATCATGTGTTCTGTTCAGGGCTCCCACGCACACAATGCCCCGACACTTGTAGCTGTGTTGTTGAAACCTTGTCGTTGAAAGCTTCTGTATGTGGGCACAGGTAGAAACCTTGAAAATCGACAATATTCATATGTACATTGTCCGTTCGTTGTACTTAAGCAAAACATGGAAATTCTACTTCTCCAAGTGGCAGTTGGGCTGTAGTTGCAGCCAGCACGGCATTGCACCCGAGAGCGAACGAATGCCCAAACCCTCAACCCTGAACCCTAAAGCCTGAACCCTAAACCTAAACGCGAAACTCAGTAAACAACAACTCTCTCAGCAGCCTTTTTGGGGTTCAACTGCAGGGCACCAAGCAAACCATGGCGCTGAGGGCGAAGCTTGCGCCGGCTGCTGTCCCAAACCTCAAGGAGCAGTATAGGGTTTGATTTAAGGCTGAGAACACGTCCCTCAAACTTTGCAGACACCCTGAAAGTCGGCTTCTTTTCTTCTCCGATGGCAATGGCGGGAATCGATCCGATAGCTGTCAATCGGCATTGCAGTAGCCCAGATCACTTGGATCGTCGTCACGTTCACACTCGAAACCCTAGACTCCTAAATCCTGTATCCCAAAACTGACCCGAGACTCCATGTTAGGGACTTGGAACAAAGGAGTCCGCAGGCCAAATTTCCTGAATTATGGTGTCGTTCACGGAGCTGACAAAGGTTCAGGCACGGAGGTCCCAGGGCTTACGGGCTCAATCGCCTGCAGACCCTACACCCCAAAGGGTTTAAGGAGCTTGGGGCTTTGAAGTCAAGAGCTTCTGGACACAGGCTTGAGGATGTGGTTGGAAGGGGGTTTAGGGCTTTTGACCTAGCGTCGGACTTGTACACGTAACCCTCTAAAGCTCCAAGTGATCCAAGCAAGGCTACATACATGGTATAGGTTTCAGCAAAGCACCGTTGAGAGCAACAGCCGCGACCAAGCGTCGCTTCCGCTGGCCCGAGTGCCGAAACCCCTATAAACCCTAAGCCTTAAGCACTAAACCCTTAACCCTAAAACCCACGACCCCTCAGCTCGTGCTCCTGCGCGAGGGATTCAACTGCCTCGCAGGCGAGCGAAAATCTGTGGCCCTGAAACCCTGAAACCTTGAGCGTCCCTGAAAGCCTCAGTTAAACAAAGAAGCACGTAAAGACGTGAACACCCTGTACTTATAAGTCATCCCTTCTCATCACCCCCCCCTCACCTGCAGCCGCACCCCTGCTCTCAAGTGGGGGTGGCAGAAGGACAATGTAATGCAGGAGGCAAAATTCCATACCCAACGTGATCCCCCGATGACAATTACAGTATATAAAAGTGCCCAAAACATCCATTCCAATGGAACTGCCCCCAAGCCTACGTTTCCGCATCCCGTCGGCCATGACGCCACACAGCTCGGTTTAGGGTTTAGGGTCTAGGGTTTATAAGGGTTTAGGGATGATATTGCAACGTTTAGCTGTCCAAGCAATCAAAGCCAACCCCGCCATCTAGCTGAGAAGGTTAAGAGGGCCAAGGTTTCGGGTTGTAGGATTTAGGGTTTGCGTAACGCGAATGATTGTTCCTGGGGTCACATTTATCATTATGCCACGCCTTTCTTGGGATTCCCGATCGGGGGACACCCTAGGTAGGGTACGAGGGCTCTTAAACTGTTTGTGCTTACTCAGGTTAAACAGGGGGGATCATATGTGGATCACAACTAATTTACCAATGCACATTCACAACTTCCTTGACATGTGCGTGCGCACCCTAAACAACCCCAAGCCTAACATCCCTAAACCCTGTGCACATACATATTTTTATATACATGCACACAAGTCAATAATAAATAATACCTAGGTGCTGTAAAAGAATCCCAACCCTCCCCGCCACTACATAGCCGGTGCCTGGCGCACCCAGCGAGGCCCCTCGCGCGAGTGGAGTTGCAGGTTTAGGGTCTTAAGGTTTAGGGCCTCAGGGTTTTTAGGGTATTCAGGGTATTTGGGGCGAAGGTCTTAATGAAAAGGGCTTAGGGTTCAGGGCGGCATTGCGCCTGGAATATTCGGTGGTAGCTTGTTGTGGGGTTTGTTTTTGTTGAGCGGCTCTAGTACCTGGGGGCTTCTCCAAATTTGGACCTTTGGACCTTTTTGGAGGTCGTAATGTTTAGGGCGACGCCTTATATAGGGGACCCAAGGGACTACAATGTAAGCAACTTCCCACACGTGGCTCTGTGAACGTCAGGGACAATGAGGCCTCAGCTTCAGGAAATTGAGCGACACTCAGTGGCTGGCGATGCCGCGCTACAAACAAAATCTGGCCGATCTCAGAGTCACACTCGCGAAATGCGATTGACTGGGGATGTAAATCTTACACGGATTCAGAAACCCCTATATGCGACCATATGAGCAGCCGCAAAAAATCTTATGTAAGTGCTAATTAAAAAATCATGGGGTATCGCTTTACTGCATAGCTCAATGCTGCTACGAAAAGCTATCGCTTTACTGCATATGAGACCCGAAACCTGCAACCCTACCCTGAAAACTCCTGAATTCCTAAACCCGTTCCTTTCTTCAGGACCTGTAAACTAAATCCATACCTAAACCTCGAACCCTCAACCTGGGCCAGGGCCTTTGCCCAGCTCTTCGGGTGGCCAAATGGGTATCGTAGGGTTATCGCTTTGAGTATCGCTCTGGAATAGCACCCAGCCCCACATTGTTGCAGAACGACTTCTAGATTCAAGATTCAGGGTATCGCTTTTGCGGGGGGCCTATCGCTTTCCGAGGTTTCAGGCATGACATAAGGTTTTTATCTCCGCCACAAGAGACCTCCTGCAACGAAATAAAAGTGGTCGCTCATATAAACCCTAAACCCCACGCCATGTGTGGTCTGCTTTGGATTCAAGCTGCAATTGTCGTGTATATCTGCCCTGACTGGTGTGGATTGGCCTGGCGAAGACTTATGAACCCCAAATTCGATAAATCAAAACATGCTCCCTAGTACAAGTAGCACTGTCACTACCATAAACCCTGTGAGCCCTGAATCTTGACCCTCAAACCCATAAACTCTAAACCCTTAGCCCGGAGTCGCACACAAGACAGCCTTACAATCGGCCCTGCAAGCCCCCAGATTCCTTTGAGTGCAAGCGCTTGCCTTTCCTCTCGATGACGTACTTCGCATGGCCCTGCATGTTGTAGGCAGGATCGAAAAACGAAAAACTCTTCAACTCCAAACTCAGGCTTTGGGGTACATTGGCATAGGGTACAGTAGCAGCAGACTTTCTGCAAGAAAGAGCGGCGAGCGGAGGATTCTCGCCGCACACGAGAAAAGCTAAAAAAGAGGCTGTTTAAACCCCAGAACCTGCACCCGGCGGTCAGGGCCAAAAACCTACAAATCTTAAGCAATGGTTGAGGGTTTAGGAATTTTGGGCTTACGAAATAAAGTTGCCAGGAATGAAGCCGCAAAGGTTGCTAAGGAGGGCCATGTGGAGGGTCTTGGGCTCGTAAACAGCGGCTTGAGGTTTTGGGGGGCTAACGGCTTGAAGATCTCAGGCTGCTTGTTGTAGGGAAGAATGTGTTAGGTGGGTGCGTGGTTTGGGTTGAGGGCTTCCCTGGCCTAATCCTTAAATTAAACCCTCAAGCACATAGGGTTGAGACTACACTTGGACTTAGCTGTACTGGTGACTTCTCACCACCTGGAGCCAGGCAGCCCTAAACATGTGAGCGGGCAAAATGTGTCGGGGCTGCTTGGGGCGCCTGCGATCTCTTTCCGGAAGTTTAGGGTTTAAGGTTTTTATGAGGGGCTTTTGATCAGGATTCTCTAAGCAGGAGCCCCACATCAACCTAAAAACTGCCCAAGAACCGGCAAAGTTTTCAGGCATTCTACCCCTGGCCTGGTTGGTTGCGTAGGAGATGATGTCTGCGATCTGCACATGCCTCTTGAAGTCTACTGGGGTTGGTGCTTCAAGCCGTTCCTGCTCCTATAAGCCCTATACTAGCTCAAGCGCGCTTTTGCAGAAAACGGAGTGAACCGCAGCTTCAAATGATAACCTTCGGCAAGAACAAGCTCATCTGACTTGCCGTTCAAGCTCTGACCGAAGTCCGCCCAAGTCCCGCGAGTTCCCCTTGGCACCTACATGTCCTAAATCGCACGCCATACACGCACTACCTTCTATACAGCCCTAACCGAACTGTCCCAGTCTGCTGGAAACCTGTTCGGAGTCTGGAAGGTGCTTCGTGTTCATGCGGCTTGAGGCCTAGTTCCGTGGAGAGTAAGGCGGGCCAACACTCGGCCACAAGAAGCACTACTAAACCCGTCCCCTGAACCCTCAGAGCGAACACGAAATCCGAACCCGAAATTGCAAACATGCAAGACAGACAGCAAACCCAAAACCCAAAACCCAAAACCCAAAACCCAAAACCCTAAACCCTAAACCCTAAACCCTAAACCCTAAACCCTAAACCCTAAACTAAACCAACCCTAAACCATAAACCCTTGTTTATGGCTTCGGGATTGGGAGCTTGAGGGATGTCACAGGTAGCTGTAGGTCATAAATGCGAAGGAGATCTCTAGGTCTGCTGTTACAGCCTACACCCCAAACACTCAACCCGAAACCCTATAACATTGAACATTAAGCCCCAAACGCTCCCTCTCTTCACTAAGAGGTATTCTGTGGGCCCTAAACCCTAAACCCTAAACCCTAAACCCTAAACCCTAAAGCCTAAAGCCTAAAGCCTAAACCCTAAACCCTAAACCCTAAACCCTAAACCCTAAACCCTAAACCCTAAACCCTGAACCTTAAGCTCCGTGGCAGTGTTGGGCTCAGGTTGAGTTTGGGGCGTTTAGAGCTTTCAATGTGTTTTGGGGGCTGTAGGACTCCTCCCCTAAACCCTAAAACCCTAAAACCCTAAACCCTAAACCCTAAACCCTAAACCCTAAACTCCTTCGACCCCGTGAGCTCTGATCCACCTCGGGCGGGTGGTGGCGTAGATAATCTGATCTGCGATGTCCTCGGCCACCAGGGGGACGATGTTCTCATAGACCTCCCGCGGTGTTCTTTCTTGGGTTTCTAGGGCTTTAAGGGTTTGCATTTAGGGCTTCTGCGGTAGGGTTTAGGGTTTGGATGGAAGCTTAGAGTCTTTCTGGTTTACAAGAAAAGCTGTGGTGTGGGGGGTGTTCGGGTGTTCGGGTGTTCGGGTTTAGGGTTTAAGGTTTTAGGGTTTAGGGCTTTAGGGTTTAGGGTTTAGGGTTTAAGGTTTTAGGGTTTAGGGCTTTAGGGTTGGGTTTAAGGTTTTAGGGTTTAGGGCTTTAGGGTTGAATATCAGGGGCACACAGTAAGCATCGTGTTGAACGCGAACTTGCCCTGGTACAAGAGGTTTGAGGGCGGCTGGCCACTAACCCTATAAACCCTATGTAAACCCTTTTTAATGAACCCTTTATAAACCCTGTAAACCCTATATATATATATATATACACCCTATAAACCCAAAATCCTCTCAAACCCTAAATAAACCCCAAATAAAACCTGGATAAGCACCATGCACCATATAGAATCTCTATAGACCTATAATCCCTATATAAACCCCCTAAACCCTATCAACCCTATATCAGCCCTGTATAAACCACAAAAAAAAAACACAAGGCCCGAGATCCACCTTGGCGGCTTTCGAGTCGTCGCCACCAAAGCGGACCTTTGAGAAGTCCGTCTCCTGAGCTTGTTCATTGTTGGGGTAATATTAAAATTTTAAATTTATATTCCTTATTGGGTTTAAGTACCCTTAAAAATGTAAAATGTTACCCAACTATGACAAAGTGAGGGTGGCTCTTGGCCCTTGGGCCTGATGGCTCTTGGGGTTTTCTTTTTGCTCAGAGGAACCGAGGAACAAAGAGGTTACCAAGAGCTATAAGGGAAGGTAGCCCAACGGAAAAAGGGGAATACGAAACCACTCCGTGTCTTAGTTTAGGTTTTAGTGTTGAGGGCTGCGGTTTTGCATGTCGGTGGCCTTGTGAGCAGGTTTCTGTTGACAAGATTTGGCATACACCGGGGGGTGTGGGGGGGGGGGGGGGGGGGGCAAACCCAACCCTCAACCCCATGCCTGTGATCCATTTCATTGCATATGCGGGCCATAATCAAACAAGAGCGCCCCAAAATGAGGCCCATAAACCCTAACCCCTAACCCTAAAACCCTACCCAGCTGAAGCGGGGGGGTTTTGCAAGCAAAAAGTCTTCTAAGCCCCAAGCCTTGAAACCCCCGAATCCTGCAAAAACCCCGGGCGCAACCCTATCAAACCCAGTATAGGCAACCCTAAGAGACCCTATTATGTGTAACATCCCCTTATCTACCAATTTCCACATGACCCAAAAAACCCTAAACCCGAAACCCTAAATCCTAAACCCTTGACCCAAAAAAAACCTAAACCCTAAACCCCGAAACCCTAAATCCTAAACCCTGAACCCTAAACCCCAAATCCCCTCTTCTTTGCGGCGCGCGGCGACCATGCCTGGGCTGATCGCCGTCACCCTGACGGGAGTGCGGGAGGTCACTTTGCGCCATGCGCCCCAAAACCAAACTCCAGCTAAAGGATTTCAGGGTTCAGGATTTGTATGGTTTCCCCAAACCTAGAGAATTTAGGGTTTAGGAGTTTTAACAATTTCACTAAAACCTGTAAGCCCTAATCCTCAATCCTAGCCGGTCCTACCCCCCGATGACACCTCCGAACTGTGAATCTCCGAGAGCTTGCAGGAAACACGACAATCCATGCGAGCTTCGGAGGAGCACCCTAAACCCTAAACCCGAAACCCTAAACCCCAAACCCCAAACCCTAAACCCCAAACCCCAAACCCTAAACCCTAGACCCGCCCCCGCTTTCGGGAGCCCTCCAACCTTTCACGTTTGAACCCCTTAGTGTTGACATGCTGTTCGGGAAAATCTTCCTGAACACGACCCTATTCAACCGATAACGGACGACATGACACGGGGAGGTTCCCTAAAACCCTCAGCCCTAAACCCTAAACCCTAAACCCTAAACCCTAAACCCTAAACCCTAAACCCTAAACCCTAAACCCTAAACCCTAAACCCTAAACCCACCCTAAACATTTCGGGACCCACCAGCTGGCCTGATAGGGGTGCCCGCCAAGTCATGGCGTGTGGCGATTGTAAACCTTGGGGTTTAGGGTTTAGGGTTTAGGGCTAAGAAGCCCTACCCCTGTCGAGCTCCTTCACAAGAAAAACCATTCGGTATGTACTTTTGCTTAGGGCTTTTGGGGCCACATGGGGCCACAACCCCAAGGATAGCATGCTGCAAAAAAGCCACTACACACGGACAAACCCTACGACCTAAACAAAGAACTCAATAAACCCACGGATTAGAGCTTAGCGGTTGCCAAGGCCAAAGGTTTAGCCTCAAGCCCTAAGGCCTAGAGCCCCTGGGTTGTTCCCCCCCTTATAGTCACTTCATAAGGGACTCTAGCACCCGCTGTGATAGTCCCTATGAAGGGCTGGTAGTGTAAGGGGGAACATCCCAACCCGAAACCCCGAACCCAAGAGGGCCTTGAGCTAACCATGGGGGTTTGCCGGGGAGCATGGCCTGGGCTATCTAGGTTTGTAGGCCTTCAGAGACTTGGCGTTCCAGATTCTAGGGAAGACGCTGCAACCCGAAAACCCGAATCCCATAAAACATCTCAAGCCCCAAATGCTAACACCCAAGCCCTGACGCCCTACAAAGCATCAAACAACTGCCTGAATCCCTCCACCCACAACCTCAACAAGAACACAACCTAATCCCCTTAAACTAAAGACACAAAAAAACAAACACGAACAACCTTTAACAATATTATCAACAAGCCTTTCAATTTCAAGACCCCTAGAAAACCGTAAACAAAAAAACCCTGGCGCCAAACACCCTCGAACCCGAGACCTCCGATCGAGACACGCGTTGACGGCATGCTTGGTGGCACAGTAGGCAGAGCCACCGACGTAGCACTCGTGTCCTGAGCGAGGGCTTCGGGCTTCAGTCAGTTGGACAAATTAAGGGCATTAGTGTTTAAAGGTTCGGGTTCCTAGGGTTTTCGGGGTTCAGGGCTTGGGGCCTATCCGGTTGGTAAGGCTTCAAAAACTGAAAGGGCTTGTATGGTTTGCATGGGTTTAGGGAGCATCGGTGAGTGTCTCAACCGTGTTTGGACAGGAACCCCCACCCCACCCCCCCCCCCCCCCCCCCCCCCCCACCCCCCCACCCCCCCCCCCCCCCCCCCCCCCCCCCCCCCCCCCCCCCCCCCCCCCCCCCCCCCCCCACCCCCCCCCCCCACCCCCCCCCCCCCCAACCCCCCCCCCCCCCCCCCCCCCCCACCCCCCCCCACCCCCCCCACTCCCAACCCAAACCCCCGCCCAACCCCCCAACCCCCCACCCCCCCCCCCCCCCCCCCCCCCCCCAAAGAAAAAAAATGGAAACTCCGATAGGAGCCCTTCAAACCGTTCTATTGAATTTAGGGTTTGGCGCTCTAAGCCCTCAACATCCCGGCCCACCTTGAAAAGCCTCAGCCCGAACTCGTATAAACCCCACAAACCCTAACCGTCCTGACCTTAAGCCCCAGGCTCTGGCTCTGGGAGCTCCTAAACTACTGTTTACTCAAGAACCCCAAAAGAATTTAAAAAAAACAACAATCCCTATATTAAACCCAAAACCCTGAAGTAAGTCTCGCCTGCAACGGATGAGATGTTGACGATGTGCCCCTGACCTGCACAGTCACTAGCACAGCATTGAGGTGTTCACAGGGTGAGGGTTTTTGGTCTAAGGTTCTTTAGGGGTTTCCAGGGGGCTTAGGGTTTAGAGCTTAGGGTTGGTGTAAGCCTTCTTCAGTGCCGGAGGGACAACATCTCCTCTGCGATCTTAGTGATTGCCACGACGCCAGGACCACCAGAGGTTCAAAGCGCTGGAGCAACCTATCTTAAGACTTTTGGGTGGCTTAGGCTGGCAAATCCGAAAAAACAAAGCCGTAAGCCCCAACCACATCAAGATCTCCATCACCTGTACTAACCCCTACATGCACGGAACACCGCCGAGGCCCCGCGAACCCCTTCTTGTAAGGAACCCTAAACCCTAAACCCTAAACCTTAAACCCTAAACCCTAAACCCTAAGCTCGAAGAGCCCTACACCATTGAAGCCTCAACCCGCCGGCCTCTGTCCTTCATCTTGGGGCCAAATGTCGCCACAAGCAACCTGGCTGTGTCACTGTGTTTAGGGTTTAGGGTTTAGGGTTTAGGGTTTCGGGGTCTGTTCGGGTTTAGGGTTCAGGGCGAGAGGGATCAAAGAGGAGAAAGGCAAGACATCGTGCTTTTCCTTAAACCTTGCGCTGGCCAGGGTGAAGGTCGTCCCTAAACCCTAAAGCCCTACACCCTAAACCCTAAACCATGTTAGGGCGTCAGGCTGTTTGGATTTGAGGGCATGAACACTCCACTGGCGCCTTCGAAAGAAGGCAAAGACTGCCTCAAGCCCGCGACCTGACAAAACAAAGCAAAAAGAAGCAGCCCCACAGGGCTATAGTTCAAGAAGCAGCCCTAAACCTAAACCCCAAACCCAAGCCCCAAACCCCAAACCCTAAGCCCCAAACTCCAAATCCTGAACCCCGCGCGAAAGGGCCCGATGCCGAGGAGCATCACAGCCTGCACATTAGTGGCAAGCATCGTCTGGATGTTTGCAAGCTCATTCCTGGCTGGCAGCTCTCAACGGCGGTGGCTGTCAACGGCAACCCCATAGCCTTACCCCTGCGAACCCTAGGCTCCAAGTATCATGCTTAGATTGGGGTCGAAAGTCTGTAAAAAAATACCTACTTTGAGCTATTTGGAGCCTTAGGGGAAGGCTCCATCGTGCTTGCAATGAGGAAGGAAAAGGCTGCGCTATTGCGGTTGAGGGCTTCAAGCGGCTCTAAGATTTCGATCTCTTACGAGATCGTGTCTTAAACTATATGGTCTCACGTTCTCCGCTGCACTGATAAAGTTTAGCTGATATTGGATATGGCTCAGCGTCTGGGAACCAAGTCCCTCCTGAACTCATATCCAAAGCATAAACGAAAGAGCCTCATAAAGGACGCTAGTGGTTACACAGATGCTATCTTGTGCCTACTTAGGTATATAAAGGAATAGAAGGATAATAACAACCGTTTTTCAGGGTAGTAGGACTAAGGGTCCCTTCCAGGGTCACTCGTGTTCTCCCTCAAGACTCGTAAGGGGGTTTACGAAGATAGCGTACCCCCCCCCAATATAGATCCCCGAAACGGAAGAAACCCCTCATAATAAGATAATGAGGACACTGACCAGGTACCCCCCCCTAAACCCTAAACCCTAAACCCTAAACCCTAAACCTTAAACCCCCCCCCAAATATCGTAAACCTTCATAAAGCCCAGCATCTCGATCGCGCTCGCGACTCCCAAGGCAAGCCCAGCGTTGTTGACCAGGATGTCCACATCAGGCATACCAGCATCCTGTGAACCCAAAATCCTAAACCCTAAACCCTAAACCCTAAACCCTAAACCCTGAACACAAAGCACTCCCTAAGCCCCAAACGTCAAACCCCAAACCCTAAAACCATAAACCCTAAACCCCCCAACGCTTCTTCCGGGTTCAGAGGTGCCCCATTACTCGAGCTCGAGCACCGAAAGCAAGTTTCAGGTTTGGACAAAGGGAAAGGGGACCACTGGGCGTCTCGGGGGCTCCCGTCCCCAACCTTGTCAGTCAGCTTTAAGATGGCGGCGTAGGGCTTTGGGTTGTGGACGGGTGGCAACTTCGAAGGGCGTGGGCATCTCAAGGAATCTACCGCCAAACATGAATACTAGGGTTTAAGGCTTCGGGTTTAGGGACTTGGGTATACACAGGGTTTCTGGGACGCTGTACTCGTCCGCAGATGGCTGCCATCGACACAGTGGCGCACGAAAACCTGGAACGCTATCAACTCTGATCCCTAGTTCTACGTCAAGCCCAGGCAACTTATCAGTATTGGACTGTACTGTACTGTACTGTGCTGGGCTGTGCTCTGCTATACTATACTATACTTTACTATACTATACTATACTATACTATACTATACTTTACTACAGTATACCATGCCAGTGTTGAAAATGTTTCACGACTTTATGGTGCATTCTTGTTGATTTATGGTGCATTAAACAAATGCAATAAAGGCTTTGGGCCTAGGACACCTGGCACAATCATCTCCAACACCCTGTCGTCATACGATGGCCAGGCCTTTAGCTGGTCCGGCAACTTGGCGATTTTGTCGCAATCTTGGACCTTTTCCGAGCGACCCTATACCGTAAACCCGAAACCCTAATCCCTAGACCCTCAACCGTTGATTGTTTAGGGTTTCTGCTTTTGGGTCTGAGGGCTGGAGTGCATGGTCGCGGGGCCTGATGCTGATGTGATGAATGAAGACACCCTTGCCAAAGCCTCATGAGCCACAAACCCTAAATCCTCCACCCAAACGAAACCCTAAACCCTAAATCCTCAACCCTCAACCCTATTCTCAATCCCAACCCTAAACCCTATGAACCCCAAACCCTAAACCCCTAAACCCAAACTGCCATGGGAGGCACGTCCAGGGCCACGGTGATGGGAGCTGGAAGCCCCGGAAACTTTTCCACGAGCTGATTCTTGAGCTCCTGCACTCAAGGGTTACAGGGCGTAGCATCCTGCAGGTTTCAGTGTTTGGGGACTTCTCCAAGAGCTGATTCGTGATCTCCTTCTAGGAATAACCTAGGCAGAAAGAGGTGCCCTTTTTGGTTTTAAGGGTATTATAAGGGAACCCCAACCCGAAAACAAGGAAATAAGGGCCTACTCCGGGTCCTAGTCTAGGAATAACAGGGGTGCCCTTTTGGCCCAAAAAAGCAATAGTTACAGGGCCTACTCTGGGTTCTAGAGGCCTACTCTTCGGCCAGGCTTCGTAGCACTCTCGGCTTCAAGGCTAAGAATAATGCAACCAATAGTCCGAAAGAGAACCACCGGAATAGCATGCCCCCTGTAGTTTGTAAGGTTGGGGAAGACTTAAGCCTCCAAGGATGCAAGGCCTTACCGAGGATTCCCGCAATCAGCGGCTTCAAACCTTCGAGGCCGTAGCCAAGAAGCTCAAGGCCCAGCCCCCAAACGGCTTTGACAACTCCCCTTCCCCTCCCTTCCCCTCCCTTCCCCTCCCTTCCCCCTCTTCCCTTGTTTTTGACAACCCTATACACATCTCACTGAATTGTGAGAAAGAGTTCAAAGTGGTTGTCCTCATTTTACTGCGCGTTGGCAACCCCGTGATACGACTCCAAATAAGGCGGTTAGCAGCCAGCCTGTGGAGGAGTAGGTATGCATGTGGGAAAACTGTGGAGCTGGTACATGTGAATTGCCTGTGTACTTCAGGTAGATCCAAGCTATCGCTACATTGCTCGACCCAGTGTATACGTCTGCGGTGAGGTCTCAGACCTGCCCCTATGGTAGCTT